TTTTAAGTTATTTAGCCAGTTTTTATGTACTGTTCCTTGAACTGGTTGGATAACCGGCAATTATGTGACATGACGCGGGTCAGATTCTCGCATGATACATTTTTTTTTATTGCTCGCAATGCATTGTTTCCTTTCTGAGTATAATGTGTATTTGTAAATGCACTTACTATACAGAAACAAAAGTGTCGAGTAACGTTTTTTTTAATAGAATGCTTCAGTATGTCATTCGATCTCAATCATATGGTAGTATTATGCATAAGGAAATAAAGCAAAAAAAACCTTTTATTCTAAAAGCAAACATATGCAGATTGGTCTAGTTATACAAATTATAATATGGCTGAACAAACAATTTCACAGACCTAGTTTCCAATTTTAAATTTGAAGTCAGTAACAATTTAATACTAATACAAAAATTTCCATTACTAGGTTATCAAAGCAATCTCAGGAACTAATCAGTACCTTTCCATGATAACAGTCTATAAAATCCACATAATACTTAATTTAAATACTAAGGTAATGAAAACAAATGCTAATTAAAACTTAAATAACCTCGCGACAAAATGATTTCTATGGTGAGTTGCGTACGCGCACACTCGCCTTAGTTAATCATGTACAGACAATAGAATAACAGTAATCTTTGTTAGATTGTCAACTTTATTATTCAAGTATAAAGTTGAAAATACAATGAAAACTGTTACATTGTTGAATAGGTTGACCTGCTAGCATCGCGTCTGTACAGCTGTTCAGTAACCAACCTATTTGTTTATTGACAGTGACAGCAACCAGACGTATGTCACACTGGCAATGTTTTCTAAAACATTATTTTTTATAACGTTTTTAATTTACCAAACAAAATGTGAATCGAAGGTTTTTGTTTCTAAATCTTGTGACCTTGGAAATTTGGTAAAAGAGATTGAATCTTATGACGATGTAGTTAAGAAGATATTGAATTACACAGTTTCTGGACCTTTCAAAGGGAAGACTTACAATGAGTGAGTATTGTCGTTTTCTAATTCAATTGGTATTGTGACTGAATTGGTACTTTGTGGGATTTCTTGTCGGTATTAATGTTGCGTTTGTGATTTGTTTTGTTACTATTCATCATCGTCAGCCTCGAAGTGCCCATTGTAAAGCAAAAGCCTGTTTGCACGCAGAAAAGATTTGAGCATTAATCACCATTCCTCCTCAACGCGGATTATCCATTTTAAACTTTTAATATTTTTTCTTTTTTTAAAAAAGAAACGTTGCCCCACCCTAATATAATCTCCATTATTGTGTGTGCGTTAATAAACATACAGTTTTACATACACATCACACAGGAGTTGTTCCGTGCGGGGATCGAATCCACTACACGTTGCGCGGCACTGAGTTGCCCTGCCACCATGCCAACCGTGCAGTCAAAAGTCAGTTAATTAGAAATTATTATATATTAGAAATAATAAGTCCAGGTTTCCTCGTGATGTTTTCCTTCACGTATGTCAGTGGTGTCTAAATAAACTTAGGAAGTACACAGTATAACTCAGAAAAAGTGACATCGGTATTTGCCCCGTTTTGAACTTGCATCGTCATTCGTGATATATGGGTGCCTTAAACTTCGAGCAACCATGACTTAATTGTGTTTGTAACTACAATTGTAAGAGTGGTCGTTACTTCTATTAATATTCTGCAATCACGTAAGATAGTAGCTTGCTCCACGCGTAACTTTGTATGTGATTAGATTTTTAAATATCGTTGACCATCAAGGAGTATGTAGCAGATATGGAAATTAGTTTGAATTCCTGTCACGTGATAAGATTAAAAACTTGCTATGCTTAGGTTTTTATATTGTCATATTTCTATAGATGATTGAGTACCTACTATAGGTTTTTTTTAAGTAATGTATTCAAATCAATTCATAAATACACCTTTGGACAAGTTCTCACGTGTTTGAGAATATTGGTATTTTCTTTTGGATTAGTAATAATAGAATTAGTTTTACAAGGTCAAGGTAAAGTCCCGATAAATCACTTGGACAGGCTAGTGTTACTACATTTATACTGATATTATAAAGAGGTAACATTTTCAAGTTTATGTATGTAAGTTTATGTATGTGTATGTAGGGGGGTAATCTATGCAACCGGTGGTTGGATTTCCAAAACTCTTTCACTGATAGATCTATAATGTTCCTGAGTGCTATAAGGCTATGAATTATACTTGATCTGCGTATTTTAGTCGAGCTATCTCTTTGAATATTGATATCTTAAAATACCGGGATATATTCCTTTTATACGCCCAAGTTACTGGCAGGCGGAAGTTAAGACATAATTATAATTATGTTTTTTTTTTTATATAAAAATATACTAAACACGTGTTAGTCGATTATGTTTCGTTTTCATTTTGTTTTTTATACGAATCCACTTTGTTTTGCCTATTGTAAACCTCGACCAAAAGTTGAGTAGGCTAACGCCTAATATATATATATTTTTTTTTTGGTATCGGGTTGGATAATCCTTATGGAGACCCATCGCCCTCGGGGAAGGGCGAAGGGTAAGGGTAGACTCTTACTGATACTCTAAAAACCAACCCGGTGTTCCTCCACTTACCCATGTGTCGGAGGGGCGGGTATCGCCGAAGCATAGGCTAACGCCTAATATGTTTTTATAATAACTATCGTGAGACGTACTAAATTAACTAACAATCGCTGGTTAGTCACATATCACCGCGACATCGCCGCGTCCGCGCACGCTGCTCATGAGGAAGAAGTAGTTTCGAACCACAGAGGGGTCTGTGGTTCGAAACTAATAGAGCTTTTCTCAATTTACTCACCTGAGTAACCCGCGATTGTTAGTTAATTTAACGCTTAATAGTATATAATCAATGTCCTGATGCCGACAGCAGTACTTATAAATAACAAATCCGGGGTTATGGAGTAAGCGGAATAAGGCACTGAGGCCTCGGCCTCGGCCGGGATGTTTTTAGTCAGTAAGAGTCTGACACTCCCTCTCGCCTTACCCCGGGAGAAATCATTTGAAGACCTCACTAAAAAGTACTTATAAACAGGGCGTATTGTCTTCAAATTTCTTGTGTTCTCTGGAATCCCTGAGTACAATAAATACGTTAAAATATGATGTGTGTACATGTCCGAAGTCCGCACTGAAATGGACACTAGTTCATTAACTGTTATTAACTGTCCTTTACATTTATTTTGCTTTGCGATTTAATGCAAGTGTAATATAAGTTAATTTATGTAGACACATGGCTAATTAGTTATCCAAGGGCTATAATTTATTTTTATTGCAGCTACACTGTGTACGTTTATCTTTACTTTAAAATAATTAAGATTTTTCTATCTATATTTCTATTTATAATTTTATTAAAATGTCAACCCTAATGGGATAATAACATGGAATATGTGTAAGAGAGCCATGTTTTGGCTTTACAAAAAACCGGCGTGAAACAACCATAGCGTTGTTTTTCGCCGTGTAAGTGAGGTTACCGGCAACGCGCTTGTAACTCCTCCGTTGCGGGTGTCCATGGGCGGCGCTGATTGCTTACCATCAGGTAATCCGTCTGCTCGTTTGCCGACCTATTACATAACAAAAACATATATTTATTTAAGCGTCTGCATAAATTTTACTATAAGGTTGACCTAATGCCGTTGTTAATCTCAGCCTGTCTGGGCGAAACTTTTGAAGGTGGTGAGCCAATGGTAACATGCAAAAAACTAACAAATAGCACAAAATACCACATTTACATTTGCATATACATATTGTATGTCATATTTAAAAAAGTATACACTTTATACACTGACATAAATTTAATTAAAATAATAATAAAATGAAATAAATATGCAAATGCATCGGAAATAAAATATAATATTTTTAAAACGAATTAAACAGTAAACCGTACCTGGGCGATGGATATTATTTTTCCTAAATTGAAACTTAATAGTAACTTAATAGTAGTAACTAGTTTGATTTTGGCCCTAAATATCTTAACAAACAAAATGTTACTAAAATCGTTAGAGCCGTTTTCAGGGTTCTATCAATACCGAAGAATTATATGTTTCATGACATGTTACATTATAACATAAAAATACCTCTAGGTAGTAGTACCACGCAGGTAAATTCTACACAATAATATTACACAACATATCAACAAATTGAAATAACAACTCACTTCAAAACATTTACATCACACGAGCACTTAAACCTGTAATCCAAAATGTCGGAATAAAGTGGTGTGCGTACAATTGAAATTTCACACACAATTTGATAAGATATCTGTGAAATCCATACGAAATACTCTCAAGTCTCTCGAGTATTAAATGTCTATCAAAGTAAGGAGTAATCGTATAGATCAGGGGTAGCCAACCTTTGGTATATAATAAATAGCCGCTATAACATACTACTGGACTATAGACCTCCTCTTTTAAAGAAGTATTGATCAGCTGCATTTGGCTGCTGGAGATTGCCACCTGGCAACATTCGTTTATTAGAAAACCTTGCTTACTGATATCTGTTACATAATATAGTTTGTAGTCCCTTTAGCCAGGTAACACCGGCGGGAAGAATCAGAATGGTGAAAAAATGTATTATGCGTATTTAAGTGTGGGAGAGGCAAGCTTCGGCACGTTTGTGTTGGCTCGACCGGAGTGATACGAGTACCACGGAATCACAAAACACCGGCATTAAATAATCAAAACTTTATATTTCGCAGTATAAGAGAGGTTACCGGAGGCCCAATCTCTTCCTTCCCTTATCCCTTCCCAATCCTAATGTCGGCAACCCTTATCCTTAAAAAAGCCGGCAACGCACTCGTAACTCCTTTGGTGCTGTTACCATCAAGTAATCCGTCAGCTCGTTTGCCGACCTATTCCATAAAAAATACATATAGCTGAAACTCAATGACCTTAATGAAAATTTATTTAGAAAACGCACTTTAATACCCAAATGTTCACCAGCCCTGGTAAATACGTTTTAGACATTCGGCCATCAATACAGATAAGATAGGCGCAGTACAAAAGAGCTCTCAATTTATCAATACATCTCAATGTCGGATAGACGCTGGAAGAAAAATGAATTTCGATAGTATTGTCTTCATTGTAACCCTTTTTGTTATCGTTCCGAGTGAATCCAGGGTTCTGGAAATAAAATCTGATAGATGCGAAAAGATTTTAGGGAGCAATTTGATTGAAGAGATATGGTCTTACAAAAATGTTAAGGATGATATATTAGAATACGTTTTGGAAGGTGAATTTAAAGGCAAAACTTACGATGAGTGAGTGTTTGTGGATAAAATTGGTCTACATTTGTATTGTGATGTGATTTATTTAATAAAAACGGTATTTTTGTATTACAGATTGGCGAAATTTGTGGACAAATTTGGAGCACGACCATCGGGAACAGAGGTTCTTGAAAAATCTATTGATTATATGATCGATTTGACTAAGAATGAAGGCATTAATGATATTATCACCGAAGAGGTTAAGGTGCGTTTCCATTGAAAATTACTTAAAATAAATAAGGAAATACACAAAGTATTTTACGTTAACGTCTTAATTGATTTTTTAAATGCATAGTTTCACAAATGAGAGCTATAAATAATAACATATGTATGTAATATATGTTAATTAGATTATTTTAAAAATGTGATGAGCATTTCTTTTAACCTAAAGTCGTGTTTATTCTTTTTCAAATGAAACTGTTAAAATTCAATTTTTTATTACAGGTACCTCTTTGGGAAAGAGGTGAAGAGAAAATAACAATGCTTGAACCGAGAAAAAAGGATATTGAATTGTTAGGTCTTGGTAAAAGTGTTACAACACCACCAGAAGGTCTTAAGGGAGAAGTTGTAGTAGTACGTAGTTTTGAGGAGTTCGATAATTTTTCTGATGAAAAAATCAGAGGTAAAATTGTTTTGTATGTTCCTGTATTTACTACGTACGGAGAAACTGTACCATACAGGTCTCAAGGAGCATCTAAGGCATCAGCGAAAGGAGCTATTGCGAGTTTAGTCAGGTCGATCACTCCCTTCTCATTAAATACCCCTCACACTGGTTCTCAAACTTACGCAGATGGCGTGGTTCCTATACCAACAGCAGCAATTTCTTTAGAAGACGCCGATTTAATTACAAGAATGTATGATAGAGGAGAAAAAGTTGTGCTTAATATAAAAATGAGTTCAAAACTTGATGAAAATAAAATTTCAAGGAATACGTTAATTGATTTGAAGGGGTCAAAGCACCCTGAAAAATTGGTGATTGTATCAGGACATATTGATAGTTGGGATGTAGGTCAAGGAGCTATGGATGATGGAGGTGGTATGTTTGTTAGTTGGGCTGCACCTGTGATTTTAAAGAGACTGAACTTGACCCCAAAACGCACAGTAAGAGCTATATTTTGGACAGCAGAAGAACTAGGTCTGATTGGCGCCCACGCATATGAGGAAGCGCATAGAAATGAAAGCCACAATATTAATTTTGTAATGGAGTCTGATGAAGGAACGTTTGCTCCTCTGGGTTTGGCTGTAGGTGGTACTCCAACGACGTTGTGCATAGTTGCTGAAATCCTAAAATTATTTCAATCGATAAATGCTTCAACCCTTGTGGAAGAAGATAATCCTGGCTCTGATATAACAGTATTTACTAGTAAAGGTATTCCAGGCGCTAGTCTTCATAATGACAATGGTAAATACTTTTGGTTCCATCACACTGAAGCTGACACTATGAACGTTGAAGACCCAGACGAACTTGATCTTGGAGCGGCTTTCTGGACAGCAGTAGCTTACATTATTGCGGATCTTTCCATAGACATTCCTCGATGAATACTTTGAAGAGTTTTTTAAGATCTGTGAACTTGGTTGATTATATTTATGCGTTAAATACAAATTTACAAGTACACATATTTCTTGATAAAGCTAATCCTTATCTAATCTTACTGATAAACTCACTTAAGGCCTTATAAAATATGTTATCCTTTCAATACTAAGATATCGTACTCAAATGAAAGGACTGGTGGCGAAAAAATCTGAAATTCATCCAATCAAATTATATTTTGGCAATGTTCCACTCGATTTTTCTAGAAGAGTCCTTAAATCAATGAGCGTGAATCCTTTATCTTTGCTTCATTTTCTTTTAGGATTCAGCTCTTGGGAACGGTAAACGGGATACGGCGTATTATAAAGATATTTTCTATGCTACAGTAAAATAGAATTTTCTTCTGCGAAGCGATCTACCTCTCGATAAAGGTCTTAAATTATGTTATCGTGTCTCAGCCATTGTAATAAAAATAAGACAAGTAAGCTTCTAGACAAAATGTTGTATCGAGCGTGTAAGGCAAAAACTGATTTTTATGAGAATAAAGAGTAATGACTTTCAGGTTTAGGAATTATCATGTTTTTAAGTGAGTTTCTTTTCAAACTTAATACGGATATGATTTTGTAGATTAATGTAAATCTGCGGTGCTTTTTTGTGGAGTCAGTATTGGTAATTTATTTTATCAAAAACCAATATCTGATTATAAATCGATTCTGGTTCGTGACGTCAATCAAATATGACATCCTAATAGGGAAACTCAACATTGGAAGTCAATGAATAATGTAAAAGTTTTCGGCAGTATTAATTGAAAATGTAACGAAATTACTGACTTATAAATTCTTGAACATAGTAAATAAAGTATTTTAATGAATTTAGGGGTAAAGTTTCCAATCAATAATTCTAATATTTGATTGTATTCTTTGAGCTAGTACCGAGAAATTAAGCTATGAAAGTGAAGTTCAACTCGTTTTTAATTGTATAAATATTCCATTTTTGAGTGAGTTGGCTGATGAAGGATTTGAAAAGTAGCTGACGGAATCTTCGGCTATCTACTACTAGACATTATCAAGTTCGAGCTCATTAAGGCTCATTTCTCTTCATGACAAATGATAACATAATCTAATTAAAAGCGTGTGTTGAACTAGAAATTTAATTATACGTCAGCGTTTTATATTAAAAAAATCTTATTAATGATCGTTTGTATCACAGGCTTCAAACTTGACCTCCCTTTGCCCAATCTGATCCATTCAGCATTGTTTTGTTTACTGGCCTCAACCTAACACTAATTCAACGCGCCCTACATTAAATAGAGCGTGAAGAACTTCGAGATAAGGCTTATTTTGAATGTCTATTCAAAAAAAGTTTCCATTGGCTTTTTGTCTACATTAAAAAAAGTAAAAGAAAAATTTTGGACAAAAGGAATCCGAGTGACTTACTTTACCTGGCAATTTTATTGTGCACAATAAAAAGTGTAATTATAAAAACAACTCCCAAAACATAATAAGGAATGAAAATTCTTTGCGGAATGGTTTCTCTTTGTTTTTTCTCTTTATTATGTGAAAACCGGGTGGTTTGATTTTTGGTGTATTATTTTTTCTAATTTGTGTCCTGTTTGATCATTGCTTTTGTTTTAACATCTTTCATCTTTATAATGCTTACGCAATCAAACGATATATGACTATATATGTAGCTATAATTTACCAATACCAGTTTGTTAAATTATAATTATTTTTTGTTATGAGAAAACTCTACTGCTATCAGGCAGGTATCAGTAGTTACAACTAAATCGACGAAAGTGAAAGACTAACTATCTAACCTAAATAATATTTCTTTATTTATATTTTATTATCAACCAATCCCACATTTCGTTTCAGGAGTACGCTTTCATCCATTATAATAAATCGTTCTCCTCATTACCCACGGCGCGGAATAAGATAAATATTATTAATGAGTTCCCAACCTTATCTGTAATTTCCTCTATATTTTCTATGGTTAACTGGTTGGCTGTTTCAGTTTAAATAACTAAGCGGTTCTTGAGTTAAAAATATGGTATTGATAAGAAAATCAATTCTGAAAGAACAATTTAATTGATTACAATAATTTCTCCGTGAAAACAGAACCGGTAATTTAGACTAACCAAGGTAGAAACAAATGAATATGTTTTAAGTGCTAATGTTCCACTTATTTTTGCACAATATCAGCTAACATGTTTTTTTTTTAATCAAACCGTTTATAGTAACACACATTTAGGTATGTCTACTTTTAAACTACTAACAAAGTTACTTCCAAAAATAAATCTTTGTAGCATTTTGTGAGTGTTCTACACATAGTAAGAACCGTAAAAAACTAGTAATGGCTTAGGGATCCGCCTAATAACATCTAACTGAAGCTACATCTGTCTTTGAGCCGGTCCGTAAAGTCTAATCTACGACTTCAAAAGGAAAGTACAAAAAGAAAGGAAAGTGACGAAAATGGTCTTGAAATTGGTTAGCTCTTTTGAAATAACACAACATACGATGGAAGCTAAAGGAGAACATTTTACTTTGTACTTGATAATGTGAACTAAAGTAAAAATCTGCTTGTAATCTCGAGATTCTAATATCACGGTGTCACAGGACAACCGGCAAAACAACCATAGCGTTTTGTTTCATCGTGTTCTGAGGTTACCGCAGGCCCGATTCTACTTCCCCTCCCCAAATCTCTCACTAATCTCTAAATCTCCAAAAGATCGACAGCACACTCGTAATGCATCTGGTGTTGCTGGTGTCCATCGGCGCCACCGATGGTTTTCCGTCAGGTAGCCGTCTGCTCGTTTGCCGTTTTATCACATACCTAAAAAAAACTCTTGACATAAGTTCACACGACTTTGAGCTGTAAAACAAATAAGAAATATTTGTTGACATGTTATATATAAACTGTCATAAGATTTCACAGTAGGTATCCAGACTAATAGTTAAGCATCATTTTAAGGTTATCCCTCCTATCATCCAATCATGGGCGGTGGGGGGATCCGATGGGTTTGAATATACTTAAAATAATAAAACTACATTCCTAAGTCACAAAACCATTGTAAAAACACGATCAAGATGTCTTAACAGAAAACATTAACATAACGAATGAACCGACAAGTTTATCGAAACTTAAGAAAACCAAAACATCTGATCTAAAAACAAAACACTGTGAATGTTGATTCTCCTAATCAAAAACAAGGATTCAGAAATTCTAGTGCCTAAGTAATTAGATAGAGCAACCTTGTCGGTTTAAGCGCATTTTAACTTTTATTTACTTGCTCTGTTCTGGTGTTTTAGTTTTTATACAGCGCTACACAAGGCCAGTTGCCGGTTTACGATATTTTCATTTTATTCTTTTGTTTGTTTACTTTGTTGTGTTTTAACAAGTAGAAATGTATTTTTTATCTGGTTTTCTTTGAGCGTGTTGTGTATGCTTTTAATGATAATATATTATTCGCATTCATTCTGATAGTGCTGACGAGTATGGAATGGTATTTCTCTTCAAATAGCTTCACTAAGAGGACTGAATTTATATCTTTGATGATTAAAATAATTGATTTTGACTTTTTTTACTTTTGTTTTCTTGAATTTTACATTTATACTTAAACAATATAATCGTACTGCCAGTTTGGCTATTGACAAATGCCTCCTCCAACTGTTTCCACTCCTCCCTATTGTAAGCTCTCCTTGTCGAAGTAGGACCTGCTTTTCTCACGTCAACTCATCTTCTAAGGGGTCTGCCTCTATTCTTTTTCCTACCTGTTGTGAACAGTGCATAATTGACTTTGACCATTTTTATTTTCCTCTTACGTGTATGCATTTAATAATATATAAATACTATCTTTTTTGGTAACGACTTATTCAATTGCAACGAATGTAAGTAGGTACGTTAGTCATGTTTAGTGTTGTAAAACTTGCTTTTTGGCATAAATGGGCCGGTCGGTAGACCAAAATTATACCACGGGCCCACCGAAAATATTATAAAAAATATTAGGGGCGACGCTAAAAAAATATGTTTTAAGTAGGTATACTAGTTAGGCTGCGAAAATAAGTTTTGATATATAGAAAATAGGTTTAACTAGGAGATAGTTATATCGCTTGAGACTAGTGGTTATATAATTATTCTATGGAAACTATATATGAAAGATAAAAATAATATAAACAATGAAGTACATACATTAATTTATACACAAGAAAAAATAAAATTTGTCGACCATTTCAGTAAAAAACTCAGGTTTGTTTAAACGCATTTCAGCAACTCTCTCACATTACGTCTGAAGGCAAACTCCTTCCTGAACATATGAAGAATAAATTCAGCGTATTTTCACGGATTCCAAAATCTCTAAAGCCTTTATAGCCGGCAATAAGTTGCTCATTCAAAGGCCACAACTGGTAGTTGGTAGTTGCCACTTGTGGGACGAATGGGGAAACATTTTAGTAAAATGCTTAACGTTCATCTATGTTTTTTTTTGTTTTGTTGTTCGTAGGTACTTTTACATTTTCGGAAATATCCGAGAGAACGCCGAGTTATTCCGCTGTCAAATGAGTCATTATACAATAGGAACAATCACAACAATTGAAATTATTTTTTTAAATATCAATAGTTGTCATGTCAAAAATGTCAAATTGTAAAATATTTTATTAGTCGTGGTTGCGTATAAGAATACCAAATTGTAACGTAGTTTTATTGCTTCACTATAGTACTTATATCTGTTTTAGTTTGAAAAATACCTAAAAACTTTTAGAAGACTCAGTAAATTAGTTTTCATGTATATTTATTAGCAAAATTAAAATATTTTTGACTTATTCATCATTCGTATTGAGTTACACAAGTGACATAAATCTAATCTCAACGATTAATCCTGAGCGTAGCTAACTATATCATTACCCAGAAGCATTTGAAAGCAAGGATTGTTGTTAAAGAAACTCCTCTTGCGATCTTATAAACGGATTCTTTAAAGGAACGAAGGTTATTTTTGTAAAGGTGATCTTTGTCGACGACCTGCACATCAAGTTCCCCGGTCTAGCAGAATGTCATTGGATTTTTAAACTTATCAGTTCGCAGTTAAAGTTGAAAATGTATTGCAGAATCCTAACTGTTTAAGATTATTTCAAGTTGCCAGTATGATACTAGATCGTTAAAGTACTGCCGGTGTAACAAACGTTACTATTGCTAGCACTAAGCAGATCCATTTATAAAATCTTTAAGTAGTCCTCAGGAAGAAAAACTGTTGGAATTAATAGTATATAATTTATTTTTAACTGCTTAGCTGGTGTTGAGAATGAAGAAAAATCTTCAGTAGATTCCAGAATATATTAATATTTGCTAACGTAGTGTAAGATAAATTTTGAAGTGTGAGAGAACCAAGCTTCGGCACGAATGGGTCACCTCTACCGGAGTGATACCATGGCCTCACAGGAAACCGGCCCGGAGAAGTTATTTGACGAACTACCCCTGACAAATAAAACGCATATTAAAATCTTTGTTTTAACAGAAAAATTGGTACTTAATATTAAAATGACCTAAAATGCTTACAATCTCATAGATTTACATTTTTTGAAAGATAAAGTGTTGTAATTAGGTATTAAAATTCCACCAGACTCGGTTACTCCATTAGTCTGTTGGCTCCCGGAATTAATTCCAGCTATTTT